GCAACTATAGGTGATTGTAACAGTATCTCCTGGAAGCTTCAGCATTTAATTATTACTTCAAAATAATAAAACAATCAATAATTTCTTTATATAATTCATTTATTTAAATTGTATAGTATTCACATTGTCGCTACGAGTTTCAAGACTTGAAACACCAGCTTTATATATAAAATGAGAACACAATGATTCACAAAAAAAAATATTATGAAACTAGATTACAGAGAAATGCAGCGTTCGAACGAAAGCTTAAAACTAGAGGTTTTGCTTAGCAAACGATAGTAATACAACTAAGCGGGGTTACCAGATTTAAAGACTTATTAGTACAATTTATAAAAAGTCTAGAAAAGTCAGGAAAAAATGCCTAATAGTCAAAAAAACAACATACATTCATAGATATTTTCGTAGAAAGTTATAGTTTATTGCCAATCAGGGGAAATTCTATTTTTTGATCTGACAACCCCGCGTCTAATTAAACTACTTGGCAGTTGAGAGTCTGAAGATAAAATGTTTAATACTGGTATTTGCCAAGAAAATAGCTTATGCGTGCGTTATAGAAATAAAGGGGTTCGATATCGATAGGTTATGGAAAATTATATATAATATACTCGTAAGTATATTAAAAAATTATATTTTACCATAATAAATAAAATACTTTACGTATTCGTGAAATCTCTTGAGCTTTTAAGTCTTTCTATATTTGTACTTTAACGAACGTATTGCTGGGAAAATGTATTTAGAATATCGATTTTCTCATTCTATCGATAACGATAAATTTTATCGAACAATTAAGAATGATTGTAACGAAACACGCAAGCACACAAGCTATCACAATTCGATTCGAGGCTAAAGTATGACTCGTTTCAGCCGTTGCGTTATTTATTTAGTAGCGAAATTGAGAGAAAAAAAAAGCTATATAATAATTGACTAAATACCTTAAGATTGCTATGAAGACGAAAAGGAAGACATATTAATGTATTCGACAAATAAAATATTAATGTGTAATGTGACTCAAATTTTCAATTAAATTTAAATGCTTAGTGTTGTATCATGATTAAGATTAATTTATTTTCTAATGAGAATAAAATAATACGGTGCAATCGATTTGGTCTATTAATGAACTTCTAAAGTGGTTAACGAAACCCTTGCAACAAACTCATTTTAAAAACATACGTTCTTAATAAAGTGTGTTGTTTTTTCAAGTTTCACGAAATTAATTATAAATAATATAATATCTAATCTAAAACTGTTGTTCGAATTTTTAAGTTTTAATTGAGGAGGCATTTATTTTAAAATATTATATTTTTATTTATTTTGAATATTCATTAAATACGCACTTAAGATACGGATGAAGAATATAATATAAAAAATAGGACAAAATACATAGTGAGGGGCGTGAAATAAATAAAATTTAATATTTTTACTTTCTTCTAGGAATATTTACTTAATTATTCCTGAAATGTTCGTTTAAATCTCCTGTTTAATAATACGAAATAACAAAAACTACTTTAATAGTACTAGTGCAATATTTACGTACGTTCAAACAATTGTGAAATCTAAGATCAGTCAGTTAAGTATCAAAATCGATTGCCAAACGGAATATCGATCGAATGCTCTTGGGTCGAATCCAGGAATATGTCTTCCGTTACGAAAATAAAATTAATCTAATGTCATCGTTACATATTATATGTCAGGATTAATAAAACTCCGGACGTATTTATTATTTACTATTATTGAGCACGTTATAATGAAGGCAGTCGACGCTACAATAACAAAAAAAATGCTGTTTGAGTACACAGAGATGGGTCTAGATGTAAAACATGAGTGGACAATCACTAGAAATGGGACAAAATATCGTTTCACGATTCGATTTTAACTAATCGATCATAGATATCGATGATTCATTAAATTAGTGTTGTGCAAATATCGATATTTCACGTTCTGTATAGCTGTGTGTATTAGATCAAATATTTAAACAATTAATCAGTTTATCGAGTTTCTGAACTAATTTAGAATTTCGTCAACACAATAAAAGCCTATAATTGTTTTTCATTCACGTATTAAGCACTGTCCACTCACAAAGAAAAATAAATTGCATGAAATAGTAAACAAAAAAAAAAACTAAACATTATATTATAGTCATACATTTAATATGTAATCACATTATCGAAATTAATTTTAACAAAGAAAAAAAAATATTAAAATAAAAATGCTCAATCGATTACATACAATAGGCCATTTTCACAATTACACAATAGAGGAAGACAAACGAAAGTTTTTTTTTTTATAAGCGAGTCAAACATATTGCACTGTTAGTGGATTATTTCGAATGCATTTCAATACAGTTGAATGCAATTCAACAACATTTTCGGTAATTAACCCTATGACTGCCGTATGGGTCACCGGTGCCCCACGTGGCGCACTCAAGTAATTATATAGATTTCTGTTATAACTTTGCCTTCTTTTGTTTTTAATGTGTTTCAGTATTGTTGGGTCTCTTGGAAATATAATTCATACTTAGTATCTTCGGATTCGTTTTTCCGAAAGTCTACTAGATATTTGGGTGCTTTAGTAACAGAAATCGACTTAGGACACCGATGACCCACATGGCAGTCAAAGGGTTAATAGAAAGATTAAAAGGAAAAAAAATATTTAAGAGTCAGAAACAGTTTTGATTGCGACACGGTCGCAGCCTCAAAACGAAATTAAACAGAATGCGTTTTATACATAGAGATAGATAGAGGAAAACGTCTCAGAGAAGCTAAATTGGAAATGCATTTTGCAAATAAATTGTAACAAATTACATTATGATCGAACATAAGTCGTTCGCCTCGAGTGATCCGCGTCAAAATACTACAGTATGTTCGACAATATAAAAACTAAAATCATTAGATAAGTTGTAATAACGTGATACAAAACAAAAAAAATATGCAAATTTAAATAACATATCATGTACTTTCGTAATTATACTATTCGTATATAACAACTCTCCATACAGATATGGCAAAGAGTCTTCAGTTTAATATTCGTCTACTGGTTTACATAAAGCGCAGTCAAGGGCGTGACAGACTAGCGTAGAAAAAAACGCGCGTTTAAAATGCCGCTAAAGTTTCCTTGTATGTTTATCTTCGTACACAAGTACGTTTGAACGGTTCAGCACTTCATTCACGCTCGTTCGTCAAACCGCTGACAAACCAATACATAAATCACACCGATGCAATCACAACATCCACTACGCTATGTTGACTGAACGAAACCCACATAGCTTAGTTCCTTAAACTAGTTCAAAAGGCCTTTTTAACTAACTACCCTTATATCCAAAAATTCCAATTATAAGGTCACAGTTTCTTTACTAATACAGCGTCACTATATCACTTGAGAGAAGTAAACTAAACCTTACCATAGAATTAAATTATAACTAACCAAAAAATGTTTCTGTAGAAAAATTGTTACGTTATTTAGTCACACAATAAAGTTCGCTTATACTAAGGTTTTCGAGAGGGAATTTTTTTTAATGAAAAAAAAAAAAAACTTATTAAAATCATTAAAATCGCTCGCGTGTCCGTGACGCCAATCCCGGAGAAAACTCCGGCGACGAAGCGTTACCATTTGGCAGTACGAATCAAACAATTCAGTTAAAATCTTGTTTTAGCACGTTGCAAGATTCTACGAATTTCGAAACGTTATTTAGAAACACTACGAAGCGACCGTGCTCGCGAACAAAAAATTCAGCTCTCGAAAGCTCAAAAGTCGTTTTCGGTAAAATACTCCCAAAGAGTTCCCTTAAAGTGGTCGAGGTACCTAAATACTAAACCAGACTTAGTACGCGCTAACATCGACACATCGTTCTCACGATATATGTATAATACATAGAAAACAGTAAAACACGTTAGGTTACTCGCACAATTCCACTACAAGTCCGTACTTATTCATAGTCTTTATTTTATTTATTGAGATCAATTTTGCCTCTATGCACTAGATGGGACGCTCGCCGCCAAGCGAATAAAGTTCAACTTCCCCCTACTGCCTAAGTAATCTAAGTTAATTNACACATCGTTCTCACGATATATGTATAATACATAGAAAACAGTAAAACACGTTAGGTTACTCGCACAATTCCACTACAAGTCCGTACTTATTCATAGTCTTTATTTTATTTATTGAGATCAATTTTGCCTCTATGCACTAGATGGGACGCTCGCCGCCAAGCGAATAAAGTTCAACTTCCCCCTACTGCCTAAGTAATCTAAGTTAAATTAAACTAGGTAGGAACATTATTGTGCATTAGTATTCTATGTCGAGCGTTTTGACGCCGCGTTTCATACACAAGAAAAAAACGCTCGACTGCACAATTCCGTTAGAAAGACACTTCTAAGAGTATATGGTCAATTAAATATTTAAGTGTCTATTTAAAGGAATAGTGTAGTATAAATAAATTCAAATTAGAATAAACTAACGAAACCGGTGTTCTTCATTTACGTGTCTCCGAATGGTCTTAGGTACACGAACGAGTATACAGGAAATACATCGTTGTTACTTAGGCAGTAAGTGCAAGTATCGCGTGCGCACTGTCGTTGTGTCCACTATTGATCGCCGTCGAACATTAACGTCGCTGCACTGAGTTCCTTGGGACGACCCGAACCGCCTTGTAATTGACTCCGTACTATGCGAACACGCACGCGCACACACACAAAACAAAAACTAATTGACTATAATCGAATTTCAATTATTTTCATAATTTACGTATTTCGTTGCCGATTGTACAAAGTACAGTCGAGCACAAAAGTAAAGCGTCTGATTAAGGTAACTTTTTCAAATTATTAACTGTATCATAATCGTGAAAGGCAAACGTGACTCAGCGACAAAGCGTGAACGTCAGACTAGTTTGAACAGTAGACTAATATAAAGTTGAAATACCTGAAAAAAAATCTATTTTAACGAATCTAGAGCTGTAGGATTGAAATGATTTTAATAGCCCTAGAAATATATTTTTTTTTTGCGCACCGAATATGGTCATTGCCTATCATTTATGTATAAAGCAGTTATTGTCGCTTAGTCACGTTTGCCTTTTAAGCGTCGATATGATAAATATATTATTGTTCGGGTTTGTAGTGACATCGAGATGTCACAATCGGAATATTAAAACTAAAACCATTTTGGATGTCATCGTGTTTATCAAACGAAATCAATTTTGAACGTTTTGTTTGGGGGCGGTTTTGTGTGTGGCGCGGGGGGTTGGGAGGGGGAGGGCGCGCGCGGTTCACACGAGGTGGTCCCGGTCGTCGAGGGAGGCGTCGGAGTCGCGGTCGGGCCGCGGGTCGCGCTCCAGGTCGAGGCTGCGGCGCTCGAGCTCCGGGCGCGGGCACGGGGCGGCGCCGCACCGTCGGGGCACCTCCAGGGACGACACCTGCACATGCGAAAAGAACACACGTGTACGGAGTTGAACACCTATAACTCTGAAACCGTTTCAAGATGTTACACATTGTAACTAGATCAAAACGATCATTAGTCACTGTTTTTTTTGGGAAATATAATAATTTAAATTTAGTTAAATTCCAACAATTTTTACTAAATTAGTAACAAACGCATGATGTCTGTCTGATGAGACTAATCTTTTTTTTCTTGCTTTCAAAAGCAAACAAGCTATCTTGCCATCTATTTACATTAGATTAGATTGTCTTTTACTTTTGGCCCCAAATGACATCTCAGGCAATGAAATTGCATTTAGCCGATTTTTATAAAAACTGCATTTCATGCATGCATGCATGCATAAAATTGAAAATGTTCATCGCATTCAATTAAACGGTTTTTTTACTTGAAACTGACATAAAGCTAAAACTATTACCATAAAAAAACGATTTTACGATAGGTTTAGGAAAAATCAAAATTTGTGGATACCAACCTTGGCGAGTCGCCTGGTCGAGGGCGGGCGCTAGGAGGGCGCGGGGAGGTGCGGCAGCTTACCCCCCGCCGCCCAGTACCGCCCGCCCTCCTCCGACAACGCCGCTTGGAGCTTCGCTTCTGCGAATACAACATTCATATTAACACGCTGACTGCGTTATGGGAATTGAACGCACACGCGACTATTCCCTGATGCCGCAGCACAAAACTTTGCGCTTGGTGCGTAAGGCGACAAGTCCACATTTCTATAAGTATGGGTATACTAGCTGCACCCGTCCGCTTCGCTGGGCATTTAAAATTAACATTATTATTTCTCACTCCCACAAAGATTCCCATCATTAACGCCCCCGCAACTGATGTAGGGAGTCCAGCACTCATATAAATATTAGCCTATCTATTAAGTACATGTATTTTCTACATGGATACCAAGTTTCAAGTCAATCGGATGCGTGGTTCGGTAGTAATAACGGAACATCCGTAAAAACTACTGTAGATTTATATATTAGTATAGATTCGAAAACATTAAGGTCTCATAGCGTAAACAAGTCCAATCTTGCCTTGGAAGGACCTCATGCGAACTGCCTAAAAATCCCTCAAATAGTCTCATAGTCAACGTGTTAATTAAACATTAAAACAAAACGCGCTACTTTAGTAAAAATATTTTCAAGATACCATACAACATCAGTGTCGCATGATATGAGATGGAAGTTCAACTGTCTCACTGATCAGAACGGATGCACTAATGCTTCGTGAAAGAAATAGGAAAAACGATATAATGAACTTTACTCAGTATGCAAGTGGATTTTGCGAACTGACTCTTACATTCACCACTATTTTATGCTACAGCAATTGTAGGCTGAAGCTACTGAAGTTCCAGGTGGAATGTTTACGGCCTAGCAGCAGCAAGCAGGGGATTGGCTATAACTCTGGCGTAGTTAATATCCATGAGCGACGCTAATACAACTAGGCTATTGAACCGTCTGCTGCCTATTATAGTAAGAAATACATTTTTCAAAGTACGACAAGTGATGTGTCTGTAGTGTAGTAGAGTGAGGTGTCTGTAGTCATTGAGAAAAAAAATTCTACCTACCTATGCTGATAGCCTTGAGAGGCTATTTCAGCTTCACCCCAGCGTGTAGGTGAGCTCACGGGGCTCAAACCGGAAGTGTTGCTAACACTGGCCCTAGCAAGAGCAGTGTTTCGCAGAATCTACCATCGGATCGGAAACGCGACCCACTGAGAAGATCCGGCGAGAAACTCAGTGGGCTGTGTCTATGGGTTAATTTCTACGTCGAGCCTTTCGTCGCAAGCGACGGGTTCGATGGGGACGGTGCTTGAGGTACCTAAAAGCACCGTTAATGGAACAGGAAGAAGTGTTTGCGTAACATGTGTTTATAAAGGTTTGCGTCTCACTGGCGACTTGCGAGGCGTTGAACGTGACAGGCGTGCGCGCGAGCGGAGTGCGCAGCGAGCCCCCGCGCCCCCCCGCCGCGCCGCCCCCCGCCGCGCCACTCGCCCCGCTCGCAACGCTCGTCTGTAACACACCGAACACTGTAGTAGCTACAGAACAAAACAATCAGCATTTCAATTTATTCACATCGTTTTTATAACCGTGTGGTGGTTAGCGAGCGGGTAATATTGCTCGGTAGACCGACGGTCCGAATGTTGTTTTTTTTCTACCTAATCTGATGGTCTTGAGAGACTATTTCAGCGTAACCTTAATAGTAGATGAGCTCACGAGGCTCAAGCCTGACGTTGTTGCTAACACTGGTCCTAGCAAGAGCCGAGCTTCGCAGAATCTACCACCGGATGGGAAACGCAACTCACTGAGAAGATCCGGCGATCAGTGGACAGTGAGCTGTGTCTATGTGTTAATTTACTCGCCGACCCCTTCATCGCAAGCGACAGGTTCGACGAGAACGATGACCGGTGCTTGAGGTACCTAAAAGCACCGTTAGTGGATCGGGACGATCCGAATTGACGTGTCCCGAATGTTGTTGTTCGGAACTTGTATATTATGAAAGCTTACTTTGAAAATGTCGTAAGCGAGATTCAGGTATTTGTCAAATATCTTGTGTTGTATGATGGCTACTGCCACAACCGTCTTAGTTGCAAATTTTACTAGTGAAAGGACGTAATGTGAGCCGACACTGGTAACTACATCCATGATTACTATTTCTGCAGGGAAATAGTAATGTATTCCAGCACGAAGAGTGTGATAGCCTTTTTAAAATACAATTCAGACTTCAACATTATTATATCAAATTGGCAATCACGTTGTGATGTCTGTGATTTTCAGAAACCACTCAGACCTTAGTTGGTTGAGTCGGTGACCACGTCTGCCAATCGAAAACACAATATTTTACTTAAAATTCCGCGACAAACTTGATATATTATTTCGAATTCAGAACGAGGACGTCAATATTTTCAACAATAAATTGTATTGATGTTATCTATTACAATTTTCGGATTTGTTATGCACGCTACTAATTACTTGCTACATTTCAAATTTATTACTATGTATTACCATTGCTATATTTACCATTTCAATACGCTTAAAATTCAAATTGGGATTTTAATACACCAGAGCAACAAACTAGCGTTCTTTAAGGCCAATTCAATAACATCGTCTTGTATTATTTTGTATATACAAATTTGTCCTTTGTTGCAACTACAACACAGTTTATAACTATACGAAGGTCGAAAACATTATTTCAAAGAACGTAACAATACCCAATACATAAAAATCTAAATAAGCACATATAAAACTGTAAAACATATACCGAATAAAAAATAATATAAACAAATCAAAATTTGTATACACATTCGCCGTAGACTAAACTACAAATAGATAAAAACATGCATGATTCATTGAAACATTCAATCCTTTCTTTTTTTTTCTTCAATTTAATCTAAATATCACAAGCGTACACACCAGTAAAGATTAATGATCATGGTTCATTAATCTTTATTGGGATCTTTATTTAGATCATAATCTTTATACTGAATTCGTTCCCAAAGAAAATCGACGCTTGAAAGACAAACGTGACTAAGCGACAATGCGTGAACTTTACAGTAAACTAATTTAAAGTTGAAATACCTGAAGAAAAAAAAAATATTTTAACGAATCTAGCTGTAGTAGAATCTTAACTAGTAACTGTAGGATTGAAATGATTTTAATAGACCTAGAAATTTATTTATTTTTGCGCATCGAATATGGTTATTGCCTATCATTCATGTACAAAGCAGTCATTGTCGCTTAGTCACGTTTGCCTTTCAAGCGTCGAAATGCTTTTCAAATAAAACCTCTTATAAATCAAATTTGTGGGTAACACGAAAATTCTACAACTTAATAAAACTGCAAATTAATAAAAAACGAATCGAGTTGTTTGTCGCGTGTGTATAAATCTTCTAATACTTACTCTAATCTTTGTTTGTAAATTGCATAAATTTGGTATCTCTTAAATGGGCGAAATCCGTGTCTCGTTTGGTTCCAGAGACAATAAAAAGGATAAAAAGTAAATAGAACAGAGAAGGTTCAAATTGAAGGTTGAAGTTAAATTGACATTGAATGTTGTGTGCTGAAGTGTTAATTTTTTTATACACGGCCATTTTCACACAACTTTCTCTAGCCCCAAGCTAAGCTTAATGCTTCTGTTATGGGTGCCATGGTTACGAATACACTACATATATTACTTTTTGTTGCAAATATATAACATATAATAGGTAGAAAGCACCCAGACCCAGTACAAATATCTGTGTTCATCACGCAAATAGTTGTCCTGGCGGGGATCGAACCCGCGACCTCGAAACGGCAGTCGGTGTCACTTACCAACACGCCACGAGGCCCATCAATTAAAACCAGCATGGACACTTTTGTTTTTGTAAAACTGCTTTATACTACATCTCACTGGCAGTATCGTACCCCACCTTTATTCGCCTCACGATATGAAATTCGGGTTCAAGATGATAACGATAATGAACTTCACACAACTTATTAAGAAAATTGGGGATGCGCAGTTTTGGGCGGCAATTTTTTTTAAACTTAATTTGTTAAGTAAGTTCATGATTTATTATTAAACCTGCTGGAATATGTGCGACCGTTTACGATACCGTTACCCATGACAAAACGCAGTCAATCATCCTTAATTGATTTTAAAACTTGAAAATTACTCCCCGATATCTGCAAGCACATTCCAGCTTTAAATTCGCAAACAACTCGATTCGAAAACAAAAACAATAAATAAATAAAGCGGACGCTGTTATGCAAAACAAGATCCAACCGAGAAATCCTTAGTTAAAATAAAGATATTAAAGGCATAATGGATAACTAAGAAGCATTTAAAATATACATTCATCGATAGTGCAATAGTGGATCTTTGATGTATAAAAACGTCCGGTGTCATGAAAAAAAAAGCGGGTGTACAACAAACCTATTTGTCAGTGCAGTTGGGGTGCGCGAGGCGCTTGGCGTGGTGCGCGATACTAACGTGGTTGGGTTCGTCGTCGTGGGGCGCCCTCGGCAGCCGTCTCCGAAGCCACGCGTGGCGTAGCGCTGCGGCCGGCGTGAGGCGCTTCTCTGGGTCCCATTCTAAGCAACTGCAAAATCATTTAACGCCTTTAGCTCTAACACTAGGAGCAGGCATAGGGACCCCTTAACCGTACTCGTCCAACTCGGCAAAGAGTTCGACGTGCAACCTAACTTAAACATCAGTCCGCTGAGTTTCTCGCCGGATCTTCTCACCGCGATTCCGATCCGGTAGTAGATTCATTAGCGAAGCAGCTGCTTTTGAATTGTTAGGTCTCCTTTAGAGAGTCCTGATTAGCACTGGAAAGCCCACCGAGCCACAAGAAATCCAACAATTATAAAAAAAAATGTATATTTACTACATACCACGTTTTTACTCGACTCCTTTGTAAATTTTATTGCAATTGACTTTAAACTTAATTCCTTATAATTTAGAGGCTTAAATCGAAAACAGCTCATCAAAGTAGGAGTATAAGAAAACGGTTTCGATGCCTTTTATTTCGTTTCAAGAAAAGAAAAAATAATAATTAGCATCCTATCCCATTAAGTTCGTTGCGGGATCCAAGATAATTAAACTTTGCCCCTGTTTGTCTGAACCTCATCGTATTTCTGTATGGTCGCTGCTGTGGTTCCTACACAAGAAGTGGAAAGAATAAGGGCCGAGTAAATAAAAAAAAAAAACCCGAACACCGGATTTGCTTCGCGGCAAAAATAGACATAACTCAGAGAAAAAAATCTTGGAATAAACACTTCGACATTATGTCTACAATGGTATTCACGCTGTGACATCTATTCCCTGCGATAAATACTTAACATCAGGAGAGCCGTGAGCTAGTCGAACAGATGTAGAGCTTTATAACAGCTTTTGTGGAATGGAGCTGAACAACAACTGTAATCCTATTTTATTCTCAATAATAATGTGCTCCAAGTATCATAAATATTTATAAAGAATTTGCAGATTCAAAATATTTTTGTTTGTAGTAAACCCAATAAGTCTTTGATGTTATTTCGACCATACTCACTAAAATTATTTAGTTTATTTCACGTCTAGCGCATCGAACTAAGACATGACCGATTTTAAAACAACAACAAAATCCATACCAAGAAACAAACTTCGTTCTTCCTTCGCCAAATTATAAAGAAGCAAATGAATATTTATTCCACATTTCCGGATATCAATGGAGAAGTAAGGAAAAAACATCGTAAAACCGCCATAGGCTGAATTTTTATCGCTTTAGCAATGATTAATATGTTGAGTGTATCTTCAAAGCTAATAAGTCGAGTACCCACGTAATGAGAATTTTGGAAATTTTGGATATTATTATATTAATCGACAAAAAAAAAGTGGAGATTCTCGGTACGCATATGGAAAAGACCTCGGGGGCGCAGCCCAATACGTTGGTCCGACCAGATCCGCACCGCTCTTGATTCCACGTTTCACAACGCCCTCCACACCGCCAGAGACAAGAATGGATGGAGAAAAATCGTGCGTGCGAAGGTGATACAAAAGGGTGGTCACGACCCTCAGCAATGAGGAATACGACGCAAGGAGGATATGGAAATTTATTTTTGTTTGAATGGATATATTTTTATAAATTTTCAGATTGTCTACCAGATAATCCACCAACATCGGGTGAATAACTTGCGTTTTTAAAATTCAATAACTTAAAAAATATATCATACAGGTATACGTAATTGCGAAATTCTTAGTAAATTTAATCGTTCTGTTTTAGGATTGAAATCGATTTACAACTCTTTTTATTATATTACAATAAAACAGAGGATGTGATCTCTAGTTCCAAAAGCGGTGACGGCATTCACTTATGCCTATGGACTCCATAACCACTTATCGCAAAGTGAACTGTAATTGTGTTCACGCACCTAGATAAAAAGAGGACAAACATGGCTCCATTTAACACAAAACTATAAAAAATTTTTCATCACTTGACATCAACAATAAAAAAAATACCAATAATCAATAAATACAACATTCACACAGCCTGAAATTTCATGTTATGTTACAAATATAATCCACGTTTTTTTTATTTCCTTAGATGGGTGGATGAACTCACAGCTCACTTATTATTAAGTGGTTACCGGAGCCCATAGACATCTACAACGTAAATGCGCCACCCACCTTGAGATATAAGTTCTAAGGTCTCAGTATAGTTACAACGGTTACAATGGTAAACTCACCGTCTAATGAAATCAATGAAAAATTTGTCTTGACATCCTTTTAGTGCAGTAACAAAACTCTTCGATCCCGGCGGACCCCGGGGCTTGCCTCTCCTCGACATGCCTGAAAACATGAAAAAAAAACAATTCAGATTTCACAAAAACACATTGCGACTAGAAACAACAACACTGACTCTAACGGAAACATTCATTGTATTTTTAATATAGACTCAGGAATATAAAATAATAATATTTATTATAAATTTAAAGTCCTACAACTAGTGCTTAATAACGTCGGGATAAATTTTTTTATTGCTTAGATGGATAGACGAGCTCACAGCCCACTTGGTTGTTAAGTGGTTACTGGAGCCCAAAGACATCTACAACGTAAATGCGCCACCCACCTTGAGATATAATTTCTAAGGTTTCAGTATAGTTACAACGACTGCCCCACCCTTCAAACCGAAACGCATTACTGCTTCACGGCAGAAATAGGCGGGGTGGTGGTACCTACCCGTGCGGAGATCCTACCACCAGTAAAAAAGGATTTATTTTAATTTAATTTTTTTTTGTTTTTTTTTATTCCCCTTGTAGGCAGACGAGCATACGGCCCAGCTGATGGTGAGTGGTTACCGTCGCCCATGGACTTCAGCAATGCCAGGGGCAGAACCAAGCCGCTGCCTACCGCTTAATACTCTCCACAAGCCTCGTTGAAGAAGGACATGTCATAGCGCTCGGGAAACACCGTGGAGGGGAGCTCATTCCATAGCCGGATGGTACGTGGCAAAAAAGACTTCTGGAACCGCACTGTGGATGACCGCAGTGGCTCCAGGTAGTATGGATGAACTCTACTCCGGTGGCGGGCGATGCGATGGTAAAAACGAGATGCCGGTATGAAAGTTCAAATAATCACGGACGACTAAGGTTAAAATAATTTTAATTATGTACACGATTCGAGAAAACCCTAGATAGTATTATACGCGTTAAAATTATACAATTTTTATTTATTAAATTTATCATGTTTCACTTTTAATCGTGAACAAAGTTTAGCACCCCTGCATACGACACGATCGTTCAAAATTTTCGTAATACCTCTAAGATGTAAAATTTATAAATAACTAACGACCCGCCCTCACTTCGCTTCGGAAACTGTAATTTATTATTGATTTCTCCACTATTTAATGGATGTTATTATACATATAAACCTTCCTCTTCAATCACTGTATCTATTAAAAAAAACAGCATCAAAATCCGTTGCGTAGTTTTAAAGATTTAAGCATACATAGGGACAGATATAAGAACAGAGAAAGCGACTTTGTTTTATACTATGTAGTGATATTGGACACATCAGTGAAGCGTTTGTAATGCACACGAGAACACAACATTATCGGACTTTTACTGCGACCAATTCGAAATACGAATCAATATATCGTTGAGAACGTGACAAATCTGATCCGAACATACTCATACGACAAGTCATGAGCTATGTAATAACACACCTGACCGCGTCAACATTTGTAATGCCATTAAATAAAACCACGGGAAACTCAACACCGTAACGAGACTAACATCGTAGGATTATCCAAGTCATTACGCATACATTTTGGCAGTCGACCAAAAAGAACAGACAGCATCGAAGACTGTGTGTTGGTCTGTGGTATCTATATATTAATACGTGAAGCAAAAACTCTGTATCCCTTTTTACGAAAATTGCGCGGACGGAGGAGTATGAAATTTTCCACACTTATAGAGGATATAGAGAAGANATCGCGCGTTTCTCTCATTATTGTATTTTCATATATTTGTTAGTCGTTTGTTTTGTGTCTCGTTAATTTGTTAATAATCTGTAGTGTATCGTGTTGTCGTAATATAGAACTATTTCTCGTATTGTTTCGTTTAATTTTTTATATCCAGTAAACTCCAGTCGTGCGTCGGAGCGGACACACACACTTTTTTTTTTTTTTAGTTTACCTACTCTTTTGACTACTATCAACAAAATTAATACATAATTTTATCTTACTTTAAAAGACAGATAATGTATCTGGTAAAAAATAAAAAATAAATGTGGCAAAGATGATTAATATTAAAAATATCACATGTTAAACCTTTAAAAGACTCTCCTATAAAATTAGTAAGTTTTGAGATTATACACTTTTAATGCGAGAAGACGATTTAAGTTTTGAATATCAAAATTTTACGTGGTCACAGACGACTAAGGTAAAACTAATTTTAATTATGTACACGATTTGAAAAAACCCTAAATAGTATTATACGCGTTTAAGAGTTATACAACAATTTTTAGTTACTAAATATATCATGTTTCACTTTTAATCGTGAACGAAGTTTAGTACCTTGCATACGACACGATATTTCTAAATTTTCGTAATACCTCTAAGATGTAAAATTTATAAAAAACTAGCGACCCGCCCTCGCTTCGCTTCGGAAACTGTAATTTATTATTGATTTCTCCACTAGTTAATGGATGTTATTATACATATAAACCTTCCTCTTCAATCACTCTATCTATTAAAAGAAACCGCATCAAAATCCGTTGCGTAGTTTTAAAGATTTAAGCATACATAGGGACAGATATAGGGACATAGAAAGCGACTTTGTTTTATACTATGTAGTGATATTGACACGTCAGTGATGCACACGAGAACACAACATTATCGGACTTTTACTACGACCAATTCGAAATACGAATCAAAATATCGTTGAGAACGTGACAAATCTGATCCGAACATACTCATACGACAAGTCATGAGCTATGTAATAACACACCTGACCGCGTCAACATTTGTAATGCCATTAAATAAAACCACGGGAAACTCAACACCGTAACGAGACTAACATCGTAGGATTATCCAAGTCATTACGCATACATTTTGGCAGTCGACCAAAAAGAACAGACAGCATCGAAGACTGTGTGTTGGTCTGTGGTATCTATATATTAATACGTGAAGCATAAACTTTGTATCCCTTTTTACGAAAATTGCGCGGACGGAGGAGTATGAAATTTTCCACACTTATAGAGGATATAGAGAAGAAGTGCACAATGATAATATTTTTTTAAAATAATGCATAAAAGATACATTAAATCAATAAAGAAAACATTACACACACTACATACCATGTATTTGACGCACACACGCATGCATACTATTTATTAGATTTATTGTCAAACTTTTGTTCTTGACGTCTGTTGTCAAATTGAGAATAGATTAAATATTGTTTGTCTTTGTTAATATTTTTTATAGTGTAGTGTTGGTGAAATTTGTGATTATAGAAGTATAAAATACAATCATAATAGTGTACAAACTAACAATTCCAATTAATTATAGTCGAATTTCGACTACTGCGGGACCTCTAGTTATTATTAATATGCCGTTCACACTAAACAACTCATATGTTTTTTTTAATGTTTTGAAACCGCTAATATTTATTTTGTAATAATATGCTTTTTTTGTATATTATTTTCTTTGCTATGATTATTTTGAGTAATGTTAACAAGTCAAAGGTAACAAATGAAAGCTACATTGTATTATTACGTATTTACTATTACTTTAAAGAAGGTTACAAGAGAAATAGCGTTGTAATTGCCACGAATATTTAATTTAAACTTTACACGTTTATTTAATTCGTGTGAGCGCGTCTTTATTTATCAAAAACTCTTATTAATCTGTGAATCATTAACACACATAAGAAAGTGACGTCTCATTTTATGTTTAAAAACATCGTTATTAGACTGGTATGTGTGAGTCAGGGTCGCTGTGAACTTTAGGATGAAAACCCCCTAAAAATCCGTGCCGGAAAAATCATGCCGCGTAGTAAAATATAATAATATGTATAAAATGTATTATTTAAAAAAGTAGGATATAAAATAATAAAAAAAACCGTTTTTTTTTTTGCTTTGATGGGAAGACGAGCTCACGGCCCACCTGGTGTTAAGTGGTTACCGGAGCCAATAGACATCTACAACGTAAATGCCGCCACCCCCCTTAAGATATAAGGTCTCAGTATAGTTACAACGGCTACCCCACCCTTCAAACCGAAACGCATTACTGCTTTAGGGCAGAAATAGGCAGGGTGGTGGTACCTACCCGAGCGGACTCACAAGAGGTCCTACCACCAGTTATTCAATAGATTAAGTTTTTTCTTACATTTTGTCGATTCATGTCCATCTTAATTGCTGTAGAACAATTTAATGTTTAAGAGATTTTTAGAGTGAAACGCATTAGTGTTATGAGCGCTTAGTATTTAAGTAATCAGTGTCCTTTAAGAGTCTCGGTTATCTAAGAAAAATGATGAACATTGATATAAAATCTATCAATAGAGTCTCTAGATGATCTGTATTCGTATATAGAAGGTCTTAGCAAGATGAGTGCTTCCAGGCCAACATTCATCTATGCATAAAAAAAATAGTATAGCGATTAATAAAAGAATTTAAAAAAATCTTGTAATAAATAAAATTAGATCGCTTGAATACTTCCATCATAAACAATATGAATTCGAATTAGAATCAAAAATAGATAAAAACGGAAAGAACCTAACAGTCATAAACAATCTTCTGAACCATATGAAGAAAATAAACATGAAAATCGAACCTATTCACGCATATTACACACATTAAAGTTAAAATGTCTCGCGTGAACTATTAATACGACAGCAGCCGTGAACGTAAATAAACATTGCTACGAATATTATATTTAGTTTTGTATGTCCGCCATGGAACAATTAAAACCATGGTTAGATGCGAGGATAATATTACTGATGTTCGGCCTTCGCATCAAATGAACTGGCATCATATCAACACATCAGTTCCAAAGAACAACAAGTCTGAAATTTATAAAGAAATCGTATGTACCATTCCTTATTAAATTAAGTAAAAACCAGTCTGAGCAATTTAAATTCGGAAATTAGGAAAAACTTTTTTGCAAAGAAAATCCTAAAGGCAACTTGCGATAGGGATTAATAGGGATTACATAGAAATCGTCACTTGACGAAAAAGCGCCTCGCTTCTGCTTCAGTCATAAACTAATGTGAGCTTTAAACACGGCCGCATAAAAACTAAAGCCGGATACGCTATTGACTGCAAAATTATATATTTAAATCTTGACCTGATAAAGCTGATTCCGTGATTAAAGTTAAAAATCGAATGCAAAATTTAAAAATGAACATAAATATGAAATTACCATTTTTGATTAAGTGTACCTTACTGATAGTAGAAAACTTGATAGCCTACGGGATCTTCCAACCATCGAGATTAATACATACGAGACATAATATCTCGATGCTTCCAACAGATTTATTTTTTCATACTTTCGTGGATGAATGAGCTCACACCCAACTCACCTCACCAAATGGTTACCGAAGTCAATAGACATCACAACGTAAATTCCAACACCCATCTTGAGACTTGAGATCGAATTCTCAATTGTACTTTATATATTGCAGAAATAAACAGGACAGTATTTCCCCAAAAAAAAAAAGGTATCGGAATACGGGATTTAAACAACAGCATAATCGCATCGCCTGATACGGCACCAGACATCTTATAGGCTACGACAACATGATTATGTTACATGTTACTCTTTGGAACTGAGGCATCGATATACTATGTACTTCTTTTACCAAGGTAACGTTTTAATTGTGTTTCTGACGCTGCCAAAGTTCTATGTGTGAGATTACGCATGTTATATTACTAGTTTTGACAATAAAAACCATTACAATATAGTGAATTTTAGATATTAATATTGAATCTTACACAACAACATTACGAAATTGCATAAATAAACTGGAGAGGTAGCCTCGATTTGCTGCAGAGGTAGGCAGAGAACTGAGAAGAATAAAGACCCGTGTTAGCTCACAACATTTACAAACACCACATACTAATAATAGATTAGATCTGAAAAAATATTCCACAAACAGAACCGAAATACTTTCGACAAACATTAAAATAACTGAATGAATTTATATTGGGAAAGTCGGATCATAAACCTTGTTCAGACTAAGGTCAAATTCTTTCATTTACACCATTTGAGTCTTCTCAACGCGTGTTGTTCTAACGATATAAATAAACGCTCGTATAATTGTAGGATAATATGTTAAATTTCAAAAACGTTAACTACCTAACCCTGGCATTTCAACCTTACTCAAGCTATTACATACGGGAAATAAAACAGAAATCTAATGTCATAGTTACGTTTAGACGAACGTACAAAAGATCCCTTGTGTTTACAAGTGGCTGGCAATTTAGCTACGTTATCCACTCGAATAAGCCGCCGAGTGTATTTCGACTTAGATATTTAAGCTATGGAACTAATCTGCAAACCAGAGACTCTGGACTACGTCTTCAACTGACCGACACCAAATCTCAGAGGCTTTAGTCGTATTATTTTTAAAACCGGTTTCAGATACCGGACTTAATAATATTTAACTAAAATGCAAGTGCGCGCTATTTTGATTTCTCATTTACTTTCTATAAAGGTGTATCGTAAATGTATTCACTGATGTGTCTCACATTATCAAATAAATAATATGTAGTTTAAAAAACTAAAAAAATACGCTTTTATAGAAAATCCAACTAAAAAACAGAAAATAAATTTCAAGCGTTTCAGTGTCAAGACCAAGAAGGGAAAATACCAGGCGCGCCGATCACCTATTTCTCGGATAATTCAGATGAATTGTTTGAAAAATTGAAAATGATATATTGAAATTCAACTAAAAAATTGTTTAAAAAAATAATACGCTTTTATATAAAATCCAACTAAAAATAGAAAATAAATTTGAATAAAGTTGAATTAAAAATAATTTAAGAAAAAATGATATTATTGTAAAAAAAGCGTGGGGATAACGAATCAAACTGTTTTAAATATTGAATTGTCATCGGTCCTTAATAAGTATGCCAAATTTCGAGTTAATCCGACTTTTGGAAGGGGGTCAAAATCATGTTCGAAGATTCCGTTACATACATACGTCTGAAGCTAATAAAAGCGTATTAATAATGTTATTTCAATGTATGTATATGAGCCATGTTGATTAGTCACCGTCAGAGTATATTCATTTATCGGTTTAAAAAATCGCGTTTAATTTACTGGTGCTTGTTTTCATTATTATAATTTAATATTTGTATACATCTGTTTACGGCATACAGCCCACTTGATGGTGAGTGGTTACCGTCGCCCATGGACTTCAGCAATGCTAGGGGCAGAGCCAAGCCGCTGCCTACCGCTTAATACTCTCCACAAGCCTCGTTTGAAGACGGACATGTCATAGCGCTCGAAAAACACCGTGGAGGGGAGTTCATTCCATAGCCGGATGGTACGTGGCAAAAAAGACCTCTGGGAACGCACTGTGGATGACCGCAGTGGCTCCAGGTAGTATGGATGAACTCTACTCCGATGGCAGGCAGTGCGATGGTAAAAACGAGATGATGGTATCATCTCAAACAATTTCTCAGAGCACTCCCCATGGAACATACGTACAAAGTACAAGAAACTAGAAGCTTGTTAGTTGTACAGTAATCAAATTAAAGATTAAGCGAATTGATTTTACCTCCACTGAGCACGGTGGTTCCGTCGGCGAGGGTGGTTGCCGTGCAGTATCGCGGCAGGCCCTTGCTGCTGATGAAGTTCTTTGACCGTTTCCCCTGTTCTATTAACTTGGGGGGAGGCATGCCTAGCAGCTCTATGATGCATGCCATTTGGTCCGCTTCGTCTTCGCCGGGTAGTAAGGGGAACCCTGTAATGTGCATTGAAAAGCTTTTGTATTTTCTGTAATGTCAAATGATTTTGTTAAGTTTTTTTAGGATTAGTCTTATTCAACTATTTCATATATAATATTAACCTCAACAGGCATTTTAAAATACGAATACAGAACGAAATACGAAGTGTCGAATTGATTGAACAAGTAGTGGACAAAAAATATGTCTATATCATATTAACTCTATATAATATATAATGTTGTTTACAATAACGAGTTAAATAATTTTAGCAGCGTCTGCTTTCATTTAGACATTTTGTTTCTTAAAATTGTACGTAATATGAAGTGTTCATGAGTGCTCACAGTAACTAATTAGCAATGTATATACTATGGGAGAACGGTTGCGTTTAGACCATTTGTCCGTGCTAGTTCTAGGCAAATTAATTTAAAACTTTTCCATTGCAGTTATACTAAGAGACATTGCTGATTGAAAATTAATGCAAAGATTAAATGCAAATGTACCTGCATCAAAAGCCCTTACCTGGCTCATTTTTAAGGATCAAAATTTGTAATCGCTGAATAGTTAATGATTCATGAAACGAGTGAACGTTTTAATCTGTCTATCGCGAACTCGTAGACGCGACCGGTTGGAGTCGTTTTTTTTTTTTATACGTCTACAAAGTTGCGCCCTGAACTGCAGGTCGACTGAGACTTGCTAGAATTATAAACTAGTTAACTGGTAAATTAATTTGTCACATAAAATTTTATTATTTGAATTTTTCGTGTTACCGTCATACCCTTGTCACAAAAAAGTTTCAACGGAGCATGCCTCAAACTGACACATAATGTTTGTTTAAAGAACAAAGTCCACGCGGGTAGGTACCACCACCCTGCCTATTTTTGTCGTGAAGTAGTAATGCGTTTCGGTTTGAAGGGCGGGGCAGCCGTTGTAACTATACTTGAGACCTCAGAACTTATATCTCAAGGTGGGTGGCGCATTTACGTTGTGTATGTCTATGGGCTCCAGTAACCACTTAACACCAGGTGGGCTGTGAGCTCGTCCACTCATCTAAGCAATGAAAAATAAAAAATAAAATAAAGTTAAGAACTCATTAGAGTTCACTAAAAATTAATTATTCAGCATAGGTACTCGTATTGTATGAGCAGACGATTACACTGTGTGCGTCTGGTGTTACGTAATAGTCGAAGCCGTTATGTACTAAAACCCGAATTACTTCGAGGCATGACTGACTTCACTATCAACTGCATTAAAATAATTAATCGTTTTGGAAAAATAATGTAGATCTTTAGCAATGTCGCGAGCAGGTTCACACCACGACCACACTGTAGTACTCAAAATGAAGATAAAAAAGAAAGCATAGTAAAAATTTAGTAGAGTATTTTTTTAAACTGAGACTGTTAGAACTCAGCTCGCCTGACGTTAGTTAGTAAGAGCCCCTAAGAATAACACATGATTGCCGCCATCGACCTTTAGACATGAGTTCGAAGTTTCAATTGTATAACGTCTGTCAAGCCCCAACTGAAAAGTCGCCTTGTAAATACGCCCTTCCAATGGTAACAAACCACTATCCATTACCGCTAATTTTGATTTGAATTCGGACCATCAGATGGACCTTGATTTTGTTGGAAAAAAAAAATTATAATTACCAATGAGTAACTCCGCGAGTATGCACCCAAGGGACCACATGTCGATGGGCATACCGTATCGGGCGCCCATCATCACCTCAGGCGCGCGATAGAATCGCGACTGTATGTACGTGTAGACGCGTTGGTGCTCATAGCAAGAGCTGCCGAAGTCTATCACCTGGAAGGAAATAAAAGTGTTCATTAAATCAAAAGTGAGACCTGGTGTTAAGTGGCTACTGGAGCTCATAGACATCTACAACGCAAATGCACCACTTATCTTGAGATATCGCTTCTAAGGTCTCAAGTATAGTTACAACGGCTGCCCCACCCTTCAAACCGAAACGCATTACTGCTTCACGGCAGAAACTAGGCAGGGTGGTGGTACCTACCCGCGCGGACTCATAAAAGGTCCTACCACCAGTAAAAAGTAGTATTGGATTGACATCGAGTGTACTGTGTACACCAGCCGCGTAAGGACGCGATATCTAAGATTCTAAGACTTTAACATAATATCTGGAGGTGAGCATCTACACTACGCATTTTTAACATTACCGGCTGATATAAGAAATAATCTACTTCGGTCGGTAGAACAGTATGCTGTCCTAATATGTAGACAAGTAATCTAGCGAAATTATTATAGCAACTAACCTCCAGATTTACTTTTTTTACTGCCCTCGAGATGACACCAGCATGGGGCTCATTTTGGTAGAAAAGGCAAGGAAAAGGCACGTGTAAAAAAATTCAAAAATGTCGAACGTTTTTTTTTTTTTTTTATTGCCTTTGTAGGCAGACGGGCATACGGCCCACCTGATGGTGAGTGGTTACCGTCGCCCATGGACTTCAGCAATGCCAGGGGCAGAGCCAAGCCGCTGCCTACCGCTATACCAACGATATTATACCAACTTACAGAAATGTTATGCCGGTCAATTAACCATCTGTTACGTTATATGAAAACAAGGTTTACGATTTAACGTTGCTTTTATTTGATTAAAGCTTAAGAATTCTCAACGTTCTGAATACTTTCGGTGGTTTTTTCCCAGCTTTACGAGTTTTTTTGAGCTTTTCGCAGTCATTGAACACATCGGTTAAACATTTATAAATGGAGTGAGAGAGAGATACGTTACAACACAGAGCGCGTGGAAGATTTCTAATTTTTATTCGATTTTGGATGCCGATTAATTCAACACATTTGTAACGATTTCAAGACATTAATTAACGTATCTGGTAACCTATTGTTTTGTATTTGTTAAACATTATAGTTTATAATAAACCATATTTTGTTGTTTGTGGTCGGCCTTCTCTTTGCATTGTTTTTAGACTGGTCAAAGTCAGTCTCGACATCTACATGAACATTTTTTGTTATGTTTGGGAGATTACTGGTGGCCCGGGGGCCTTGCGTTTTATCAAAGCAGGTGGGCGAGCATGGACTTAGCCAGGAGGAGTGGGATTTGCTAACAGCTACCCGAGCGCCTCCAAAGGAGACCTAACAACTCAAGAGTAGCTGCTTCGCGAATTAATCTACTACCGGATCGGAATCGCGACCCGCTGAGAAGATCCGGCGAGAAACTCAGCGGGCTGATGTTTAGGTTGGGTTGTACGTCGAACTCTTTGCCGAGTTCGACGAGTAAGGTTACGAGCAAGATCATATACACCACCATACGATAGGATAGCCTTACCAATCAAATAAAAATAACAAAAACCAATTAATTGCCTTCACAATACATAAACCACATTGTTTTCTTGTATAGGACAAGTTCATAGTCTTAGTATTTTATTTATGAATATAGGCTATCATTTATAATAGGCGTTAACATTCAGTACGCTAAAATGAAATTGAAATGAAAATGAAATTTCACATTATTATTATTTTTAAACTGCTATTAATTAGAATTTATTTAACAAAATATTTTAAAATACTAAATGAAATTTTTTCTCTGCTATTTACAATGTACCTATTTTATGTTTTTAGGCTCCAATCTAAGCAATGAAACTTAAGAAATAATTGGATAATAATAATTGGAAAGTAGTATTATTAACGTTTTGCTACTAGGGACAATCAATAATCAATTTTAAAGACAAACGCATTTTTATCATCTTATCAGTTCGTATTCAGTATTCGTGATTACGTTATAGATGCGTATATATTACAAATACATACATACATATGTATAAGTACATACATTATACATACATATGTATGTATAAGTAATGTATGTATATATGTGTATATATGTACTTAGAAAAAAAACTTACATGATCACATCCTGCCGACACGCTTACATCATTATACGCATTAGTCCAAACACGTTTCAAAATGCAGATATGGACTTATTAAATAAGATAACAATGTATGGACACAATCGAAAAAGCTTCCACCCACCCACTCGCTTAAGCAATTATTGCTTTCTAAGAAATGTTCCAGAGAATTGGAAAACAGTATTAAAACGCACCCACAAACACAAAACAATGGAGTGTGCGTCAATTGCACGACTCCAATAGTATAACGGAATATTAATGTAAACAATAGGTATTATAATACCATAATATCACACTTGCATTGTAGTCACACGTCAGGAAGCTGGGAAAGTATAAATAGACGATGATATTATTTATTGACTCAGCCGTCCCGCCCGGCCAGAGAGTCGACCTCACGTCTTCCCTTGCATTAGGCCGGTACTGTAGTCCATAAACACGCATACATAACCCGAACTTCCCCGTTGCGTGCGTAGATTTTTCGATGAGCCTGGAGTCTCGGATGCAGTTTAATAAACGACTATGGCGTCGGCTGTGACGTAATCGTAATATTTATCTAGTCTTTTCCATAAAACCATTTGACTGAAGTCGTCGTGGTCTAAAGGATAAGACGTCCGGTGCATTCGTATCTAGCGATGCACCGGTGCTCGAATCCCGCTGGCGGGTACCAATTTTTGCTAATGAAATACGTACTTAACAAATATTCATGACTAACTTCCACGGTGAAGGAATAACATCGTGTAATAAAAATCAAACCCGCAAAATTATAATTTGCGTAATTACTGGTGGTAGGACCTCTTGTGAGTCCGGACGGGTAGGTACCACCGCCTTGCCTATTTCTACCGTGAAGCAGTAACACGTTTCGGTTTGAAGGGTGAGGCAGCCGTTGTAACTATACTAAGACCTTAGAACTTATATCTCAAGGTGGGTGGCGCATTTACGTTGTAGATGTCTATGGGCTCCAGTAACCACTTAACATCAGGTGGGCTGTGAGCTCGTCCACCCATGTAAGCAATAAAAAAAAATAAGTTCGGTCACGAGTGCTCAAAGTTAGTATTGTATGCAATTGGACTAACAGTTTGCTTTGTCAGTCGTCTAGTCATTTAGTACAAACTAATGAGGAACGTATAATCTGTGACGCACGAGCGATTCTGATCATCCTTGAATAGCCTATTGTTGTAACATAAGTGAGGAAGCTTCATATGTAATGGTTCTATTCGAGCATAAGTTCTATCGTCATAACATTTTTCTTAAATCATTAACAGTATGAAGGATAACTGATGTAAAATTTGATTTAATTATTTTATCTCAATCTTATAATCGAAAAAAAATAATCCAATAAGTAACAAATTTTTTTAAACTTAAACGACCATAAATACCAAATTCGGTTAGTTTTATATTTGTACTAGCGACCCGCCCTCGCTTCGCTTCGGAAACTGTAATTTATTATTGATTTCTCCACTATTTAATGGATGTTATTATACATATAAACCTTCCTCTTCAATCACTCTATCTATTAAAAAAAACCGCATCAAAATCCGTTGCGTAGTTTTAAAGATTTAAGCACACATAGGGACAGAGAAAGCGACTTTGTTTTATACTATGTAGTGATAAATAATGACTAATTTTAATATTGGACTGTAAATAAAATCTAATGTTTTTTTTTTATAAATTCTTACTAGGATATTTTTTGTTTTCCTTGAACGAGCCCTTTATCGCGATTCAACATGTCAGGGCCACACAGGTGCTGCATGATGGATCTGGAGCGATGCCAATGCCGCGGCGCTTCGCAGAAACACCGGTAAACGAAAATTTTCACCTATTTATTACAGTAAGACGCACAATTTTCTAAAGAAATGTCACAATCGTTCTTCCATTGACGTCAGAAAATTTAAGGTGTCGTTTTGAGTGAATAGTTCTTGCTTCAATACCATGAGGTTGCAGATTGGTAAGAGTGTGTTAACTATGAATGTGGAAGGATGTAAAGGAAGAGGTAGACCTAAATAGAAATGGATGGATAGCGTGAAAGGCGATATGTGTAAGAGGAGAGTAAGCGAAGAAATGGTATATGACAGAGAAGTATGGAAGGAGAAAACATGTTGCGCCAACCCGAGGTGACTGGGAGAAGGGCAGGATAATGATGATGTCACTATACGCCTATATCATCGAAGTCATTCCTAAAATTTATTAAATAGGTATTATATACGTAGGTACGGAATTTGAATAGGGACATAGCATTGTCCGGTATAAGTACACCAGTTTCTTATCAACTAAACCACGACAACTTAGGTAAAAATATTTTAAGTATGCATTACATCTCTATATATAAAAATGAATTGCTGTTCGTTAATCTCGCTAAAACTCGAGAACGGCTGGACCGATTTGGCTAATTTTGGTCTTGAATTATTTGTGGAAGTCCAGAGAAGGTTTAAAAGGTAGATAAATATGAAAATGCTCGGAATTAAATAAAAATAACAATTATTTTATTTCCTATGATGTGTCCCCCGTCGGAGCGATTTCTTTTGTTTGTTTTAAGTTTATTTTATACAAAAGTTTAGGTCTTTTATTTATCGATTGAGGCACTACGAAGTCTGCCGGGTCAGCTAGTTATTTTATAAATAAGTAAACATTCACTATGTTTATTTTTTATAGTTGAAACAAAAGAAAGAATGTCTTTAACTATACGTTGAAAATACGAAAACATGTCACGTACATGCAATACCATACAACAGTGAATAGAGCTTCAAGAAATCTAGATTTTACAATTTGGTCTCTGAACTCAAAACTACACCCAATGTTTACGAATCAGATCCCCCATTTACCTTCTCAAGTCAAATGGATTAATACTTTATGTATGAACGTTTGGCAGCTTTCCTTAAAACTAATTACCTATTAGTTACGAACTCTTTTAAATATGACTTTCTA